TACCAGTATAGATCCCACTTAATCTCCTGATATCCGTCAAATAAAAAATAAAGAATAAAGGCCTGGATCCATGAATTAATCCTTGATTTTTCCTTTACTCAAAATCAAAAATCTGGACAAGGTACCCACCCAAATCAAGGTCAAAGATCAGGGTTTTTTTGAAAATCTCGCTCTCTAGTTACATCTTTAGAGTCCTCGAATATTGTTTTATAGAGATAAATTGTTTTAAAAATAAATCGGGATTAATCTATACTACCACATCCCCAACACATTGACTTCCACAAATTTTTAAATAAATTCCGATTATTAGGCAAAAAGTATTAGCTGCTTAACAGCGGGAAGTAAATGTGCTCCTACAAAATGTGAGATTATAACGACATCGACTCCGACTACTCCAACGACTCCAACTACTCCCACAACTGAGACAACCCCCACTACACCTACAACTCCGACAACTGAGACTACTCCCACAACGCCTACTACACCTACGACTCCGACAACTGAAACTACTCCGACAACGCCAACGACTCCGACAACTGAGACTACTCCCACAACGCCTACTACACCTACGACTCCGACAACTGAAACTACTCCGACAACGCCAACGACTCCGACAACTGAGACTACTCCCACAACGCCAACGACACCGACTACTCCTACTACAGAAACTACTCCCACAACACCAACTACACCTACGACTCCGACAACTGAGACTACTCCCACAACGCCTACTACACCTACGACTCCGACAACTGAAACTACTCCGACAACGCCAACGACTCCGACAACTGAGACTACTCCCACAACGCCTACTACACCTACGACTCCGACAACTGAAACTACTCCGACGACGCCAACGACTCCGACTACTCCTACTACAGAAACTACTCCCACAACGCCTACTACACCTACGACTCCGACAACTGAGACTACTCCCACAACACCAACGACCCCGACTACTCCTACTACTGAAACTACTCCCACAACGCCTACGACTCCGACAACTGAGACTACTCCCACAACGCCTACTACACCTACGACTCCGACAACTGAGACTACTCCCACAACACCAACTACACCTACGACTCCGACAACTGAGACTACTCCCACAACACCAACGACCCCGACTACTCCTACTACTGAAACTACTCCCACAACGCCTACGACTCCGACAACTGAGACTACTCCCACAACGCCTACTACACCTACGACTCCGACAACTGAGACTACTCCCACAACACCAACGACCCCGACTACTCCTACTACTGAAACTACTCCCACAACGCCTACGACTCCGACAACTGAGACTACTCCCACAACGCCTACTACACCTACGACTCCGACAACTGAGACTACTCCCACAACACCAACTACACCTACGACTCCGACAACTGAGACTACTCCCACAACACCTACGACTCCGACAACTGAGACTACTCCCACAACGCCAACGACCCCGACTACTCCTACTACAGAGACTACTCCCACGACGCCTACTACACCTACGACTCCGACAACAGAGACTACTCCCACAACGCCAACGACTCCGACTACTCCTACTACAGAGACTACTCCCACGACGCCTACTACACCTACGACTCCGACAACTGAGACTACTCCCACAACGCCAACGACCCCGACTACTCCTACTACAGAAACTACTCCCACAACACCCACTACACCTACGACTCCGACAACTGAGACTACTCCCACAACGCCAACGACTCCGACTACTCCTACTACAGAGACTACTCCCACGACGCCTACTACACCTACGACTCCGACAACTGAGACTACTCCCACAACGCCAACGACTCCGACTACTCCTACTACAGAGACTACTCCCACAACGCTTACTACTCCAACAACACCAACTACTCCCACTACGCCATGCTCTGCTCCAATTCAGTGTATTCAACCACCACTTACTGCTATGCTTATCTACAACAAGGAAGATCCAAAAATAAAAACACAAGTGAAACCCGCAGGAGAATGTGATTGCCCGTCCTGTCCAGATAGTAAAATGGTCTTTTTCCATCCTGTTGCTAAAATTACGACTGGTAAAGATGCTGGATCTTCCCCCATTAACATGCAATGTTCAATTATGGAAAGCTTTTGTGTTTGTGACGATAAAGGTGTTTGTTGGAAGTTGACTAATGCATTGGCTCAATTAGTGATTAACTCACATTGTGATCCAACTAATTTGAGTGTTTGTCATATGTATGTGAGAATGAACAATATTGAACCAAAAACTCAAACTTTGGAAAGCGATAATGGACAGAAAATTACACTTGACGATCAATTGATGAAAATTCCAGGCACTAACCGAAATATGTACAAGCCAATGATTAGCTCTGCCACTTATTATATCAAGGTCCATTGCTTATTTTTGAACTTAGTTTTACTCATAAATTTAGGCAACAAGTATTAAATGTCTTGCGGAAGGAGAAACATGTGCTCCAATCAAGTGCGAGAGTATATGCACATCAACACCTACAACACCCACTACGCCAACAACCACAACAACTCCCACAACTCCAACAACTGAAACCTCGACCAAAAAACCAGATGGTAATCTCTTTATACCTAATATAGAAAATTAGATAAAATTATTTTAATATTTTTTTATTATTCTAATTTAATTTAGATTGTACTGATGTCATACCCAGTATGTGTGTTTTACCCAAAATGTGCAAAATCGAAGACAATGATAACTTCTTTTTGAAGAGATTGAAAAAATCGTACATAACAAATTGCTGTGCTACGTGTCATGCTATAACTGCTTGAAGGAATGGATTTGATGTGAACCAAGGAATTGGCAAAACAGACTGACTAAACAAACTGAAAAACTTTTTAAATTATTTTATATACCTACATCATATTTATATATAGTACCGAATTTATTTTAATAGAACCACTGTCTCTATTAGAACTACTGTGTCTAATATAACCACCCTAGGGTTGAGTCCCGAGCCTTCGGGGTTGAAAAAGTCGGGGGTCGGGGCGCAACCCTAACCACCCCAACCACCGGTGGTTCTATTAGATTAAATACGGTATTTCCCGTTGATTGAGTTATGAATTTTTAAATGAAATTGAAAACAAATTTTGGAATATGTAAAATAAAAATTCATAGCTCCTTGAAATCATGTAAATATTTACTTCTTTAAATTCCCTAACCATTTATTGCTGTCACCGTGTGATTTCACCAAAAAATTCCCATTTGTGAATGTTTTTTTCTAGTTTATTTGGGGCATTATTTAAAATTTTTTTAATTTTCTTTTTACAAAAGATTTTTTTATTCAACATTTATATCCATATTTATGTATATTATCCATTTAAAAATGTTTATTCCGGTTCTTGGGGTAGTTTATAAAGACTACATTACCAAACTAAGGTTTTCTAAAAATTACAAAGGATACCCTACCGGTTTCTTCGGATTATAAAATAACCGGAATCATCATTTTCTTATTTTTATTTAAATTTATTTAACGTTTTTTTAAATTATTTAACATTTTTTTCCTCATAAAGGATTATTTGGTAAATTTTATTTTGGGTATTCGAATTAAATTAGTGTTTTTAAACAAAAAAGAGTTTCCAAAATAAGTTAAAATTTAGTAGAGGTTTGGAGTTTAGGTTTAATTTAAGAATTTCTTTTGTTAAGAATACGTTAGAGATTTTGTAGAAAAATGTTCAAAAAATGATGTTTTTACGTCGGTTTATTAAAAATTTTTTTCAGAAATCCTTTTAAAATTTTTAAAATTATTCCTGGGAATCTCATTAAAATTGATTACCGTAAATGCTGAAATAATTACACTAGATAAATTAGTTTCAACCTCTCGCTGGAGGAGGTAATTATTATTAGGGAAGATGTGCTGGATTTAGGGTATATCTCAATCCAGTTGAAGCGAAATTGATTTATTTTTTGATAATGAGTTGTTCCAATAATCAAAGTTGATAGTAATTCAAATTATTTTCAATTAGATTATCTTTGAATTATCATTTCAATATATTCCTTATATTCCTTATATATTCCTTATTTTTAAAGTTTGAGTAAAATAACTAGGGGTAATTATTAGAGAGGGTAATTATGTCAGCATTTACGGTAATTAGTAATTATGAGAGACGAAAGTTATAACATATTAGTAATTTTTTAATAAAATTTAAAAAATAAATGAAAAGCATGTAATGTTGCTGGGGTGGGGGTTGTTGGGAAAGGAAGGGAACGGTTCGACGGCAGCTCCGGTTATCCTAGTCCACGGAAGAACTAGGGCCGGAGCCCCGGATGGTTTACCCCTGAGTTAAATTATAAAATTAAAAGTAATTCAAAATAAAATTTATTTAATTAAAAAATAAAAAGACAAATATATGTGTGAGGAATGGGGGAGAAGGGAAATTAAGTGATTGGAATTAAAAGTGAAAAATATATGGGGAGATGGTGTGGAAATAAAATGTTCGGCTGGCAATTAAAAGGCCACGCCTTATACCGTTACATGCCTCATTCTTTTTTAAATGCCGACCCCGGCATTAAAGTTTAAATTTTGAGAGGGGTATGAAAATATTATTTTTTTTTGAAAATTTAGTTTTTGAGGGGTTTGAAAAATATGAAATTTATTTTTTTTAAGGGGGGATATGAAAATATATTTTTTTTTTTAAATTTTTAAGTGGGAGAGGGGGTAGAAGGAATAATAAAAAATATTTTTTAAGGGGGGATGTATATGTTTAAAAATTATATATTTTTTTATTAATGCGGCCGGCAAAAAAAAAGAATGACGACATATATGGTAAAAATTGGTAAAAATTGTGGTAAAAATTGTTTAAAAAAACATTTAAAAAAATGTGGTTATTTAACTTAAATGTGGTAAAATATTTTTATTTTAAATAATTAAAGCTTACTTAATTTAAGAAAATCTTATTATTATTATTTTTTAATCCTAACAAAAAATTTCTTTTTATTTTTAATTTTAACTTGTTTTCTTCTTCATCATATTCTTCTTTTTCTCTCAATAATGGGATCCAGCATGTCGGTAGCGGTCCTGTTGTTTAAAATATGGTTCATAGAAGCGTACTCCACGTTGTCCACGATAATTTCCTCTTCCTCCACCACCTCGATATTGTTGATAGTTTCCCCGTCCATGATAATTTTGTTGTTGTATTGGCACTTCTGCTGCTGATGATGAAGCCTCCTCTGATGTATTATCTTCTTCCTTCTTTTCCGCAATTAATAATATAGCCTCTTTGATGTTTTCCAAACTTTCCTTCAATTCAAGAACACAATTTCCCTTA